CAATATAAAAATGCCAAATTAATTTTTAACTTTATGTGATCAAAATACTGAGGATCACGACATCTTTATGTCTTAAGATGCTGTGAGCTACTCTTAAAACAGAATAAATTTTTTAAATATGACATAATTTATTAATGTGAGCAAATTCTTTATAGTCACAACAAGTACATAACCTTTTAATGTACATAATGTATAATACATGTAATCAGAGTAATATCACATGAAAAATCCCAAGATCAAAACACATGTAATTCAACCTTATACTAGATTTTGCTTAAAAGTTGGACTATAATAAATTCCATAAGCCTAACACGCAATATATACATGTTCTTATGTCACATAAATTTTCATGGCATAAATAATCTTAATACATGTAATATGATTTTACACCATACTAGAGAGCATGCCAATGAATATGAAAATTTATAAGACTTTAAAGAATATGTTAAAATAATTCACTGTATAAAATTTAAATGAATTTACTTACTATTTAAACATGCAACTCCAATAAAAAAAATATCCATAACAACATGTTAAAATTTCTTCATAAAAATTCTAGAAATAAATTCAAGTCTTTTATGCCTTGTAAAAAATTAATTGAATAAACACTACAAGAAATTGCATTTTTCGCAACGCAACAAAATATGTTGCTAAAAGGGAAAATTCGTTGGCAAAGAGTTTTACCGACACACAAAGCTACGTTGGCAACCTGTAGGCAAAAGTGAGTTGGCAAAAGTTTTTGCCGACGAAATTATCATTGCGTTGGTGAAAGTAATGCCTTTAGCGACGAACATAGTCGTCGATAAAAGCCTTCATCCATCGTTGGCAATTTACCTTGCGTCGGTAAAAGTCATTCAAATATGATGATTTTGTGGCACTTTTCGCGACACAAATTTGTATGGGCAAAAAATATACTTTTAGCAACAAAATATGCGTCGGCAAAAATAAACTTTTGGCGACACATTTACGTCGGTAAATGTTGCCATTTATCGATGATTTGTTTGTCGCTAAAGCTTTACTTTTGGCAACGACAAATTGACATTGGCAAAAAATACACTTCTACTAACACAATGAGTGGGCAAAAGTAAACTTTTAACGACACATTTACGTTGGTAAATGTTGCCATTTGCCAACAATTTGGTTGTCGATAAAGCTTTACTTTTGGCAACGACAAATTGACATTGGCAAAAAATACACTTTTAGCAACACAATATGAGTGGGCAAAAATAAACTTTTGGCTACACATTTACCGACAAGTTGTTTGTCAAGAAAGCTTTACTTTTTGACAACGACAAATTTGTAGCGGCAAAAAAAATTGAAAATCATTTATATTTTTTTTATAAGATGTACATATGTACAAGAGGCATCCCTCAGGCACTATTATTACAAACTAATAATATTGATATTAAATCACCTAAAGTTGATGTGTAGGCCAAAAAACACTGTTGAAAAATATGCTTTTGGAAGCGGTGTATAAAATCTGAACAGGTAAACTCACTAAAATACTCAAATTCATCCAAATTATGAACCCATAGTAAAAACAACAAATAACAAAATGAAAACATGAAACTAACAACCCAAATTTGCAGCAGACCATCATCTAGTAGCAGCCCGCTTTACAATAACATTGCAGCAGCAGCAGCAGTAGCAGCAGAGCAAAATTCTGCAGCAGCACACCGGCAGCAGCAACAGCGGACCAACAAGCAACAACCATCAGCCAACAGTGCTCTGAAAAATGAGAGAAGAAAAACAGTTAATCATTGGGGGGGAATTTGGGGAAATTCGCTAATAATAGCGGGGCAGGGTGGGTTTCCATTGGGTTCGGATTTAATTGCCATCCATAATTCTACCCAAAAGATTCCACAATGAATCTCCTTCATCAACAAAATCAACAGAAAATAACTATCTACTATCTAGACAATTCAACAACCAAAAAGTAGCATGATTTAAAGACAACTGATTAAGTTGCCATTTCTTTGTAGACATCATGTGCATGACTGGGGATTATTTGATATCAAACCAATAACTCATCTTGTGCAAGTCACTATCTCGAGTACAAATGCAATGTATGTTTTTGGTAATTTCTCTAAGAACGTAATGAAGATGAACTCTTATGATTAGATGGATTAAAAAAATGGATGCATTATTGTTAGAACTTACATTGTTCCTGCCACACAGGTACTGACATGAGTCATGTTGGCTGGGATAAGTTTTGGTAGACCAAAATCTGAAATTTTGGGTGTCAAGTCTTTGTCAAGGAGAATATTGGTAGCTTTGATATCTCGATGAACAATATGTGGTCGCACTTCCTCATGAAGGATGGCAAGTCCCCGTGCAATCCCAACGCAAATTCTAGTTCATGTTCGCCAACTAAACTGGATGCTACTGGAAGATTTAGGTCAACAACCAGCAGATTGGGCTGCAAAGATTGTGAAGATTCAAACAAAAAACACTTCATGAGGAAATGCATCTGTCGCGTAAGCCTACATAATTGAATCCTCTACTGCTAATGTCTTTGAGCAAATAACAAGAGAATCTCTGAAGGAAAGAATGTTATAATTAGACAGTTATGGAATTCTCTCACATTTAAAGGCAAAAGCATCATTGCATTGGTATTTTCATGTCCATTTTCTCAATTGAATTCTATTAGCAACACAGAGTACATACAATTTGCTGTCTAATGGTGAATTATGTGAGGAGGTGCTTGCCACTCTGAATTGTTTTCTCTATGAGTATCATTCAATCAAAAAAGTTTCTTAAACAATCAGACTGTTTTAGGTTATTGATTAATGAGCTTGTTCAAACCAATATGGAGACTGGACAAGGCCTCAGCTTGAAAAAATAGAAAATAAAAATAATCAGCCCCCTTGAATATTATTTATAATAGCATGCATAATTTAGGAAGAAATAAGAGTTTTTTCTAATTCCCCCCCTTCCCTCTTTTTGGGAGAAGCTTTGTCTAAAATCAGTGCCAATACAAACAAAATCAAGCAAGATCCCTTTGGAATTATTAGGTTTGTGCTTTGTTGTAAAGATCTGTTTATGACTGAACCAGCAGGTAAAAAACTAATATAAGCGATCGATCAAAAAATAGAAGAATAAGATGAGATTGAGAATTTACTACTAAAGGGAAACAGTTATTTGAAGTGGACCTTGATTGGTATTTAGCCTTGACTAATCACCCCAGAAATAAAGCAAAAATAAAAAATTTAAAAAATCATATTCAAAGTTAATGTAGCAGAAAAGTGTTGATCATTCATGGGTATAATTGGGAGGACCTCAAACAAGAATCAAACAAAGTCCTATGAAATGGTTAATTATACTGCTTTCAAATCATTGCCAGTGATTTGCCCATTATTTGTTAGCATCCACTACATTTCTCCAAATAGCAAAGAGGACCACTTGAAGAGAATCATCCACATGGGATTTGTGAGGTGTGTTGGGCAAATTGAATCCTCTACTGCTATTGCTAATGTCTTTGAGAAGATTCAGAGGATATCTGCAAGGTTGAGACAATATGGAAAGATTGAAGGGAAGAATGTGTTTTATTGGTTTCAGAACCATAAAGCTTGAGAGAGGCAGAAGAAGAGGTTCACCACTGATATCCCCATGCAGAGAAGTGGTGTTGGTGGAAATGGAGGAGGAGGAGGTTGGAGATCTGAAGATCCTGTTTATAACAAGTACCCTAACATCAGCCCTGGTAAAGCATCAACAGTCAGCAACCTCTCTCTCTCTCTCTCTCTCTCTCTCTCTCTCTTCATTGTTCATTTCTCTACAATGCTTTTGTAGATGTACTTATGATATGTATATATTTATTGCTTTACATTTGTTACTCCGTTCAAATTATGCTAAAGACTAAGCTGGTTTTTTTATTTTTAATGTGGATCAATTAATAATTTTATGAAGAACTTAAGTCTAGGTCAAGCAGTTGAGATCCTTGGGTTTTATTTATTTATTTTTTTTCAAACATTCAAGTGGTTATACTCCTTAATTTCTAAGAAATAAATTGGGAGAGATTCTAAGTTTGAATTTATGATGAAGCATCGAATGTTATTAGTAGTAATTTAACTTACTACTAACTAATTAACTAACCAACTAATTTTGACACCCGGGAAAAAAAATATATGTACTTTCATACCATTTAATTTTTAATTTTTTTTTTAATATTAGTTTGGTGGTGTGTGTTTTTGCAGCAGTTCCATCGCCATCTTCATCTTCATCACCTGGAATGCTTGCTGTAGGGCAGATGGGTAGCTATGGTGGGTATGGATCTGTGACTATGGAGAAAAGTTTTTGGGTAAGTTACACTATACTATACTACTCTCTAATACTGACTGAATACAGGTTGCTGTCATTATGTAGTTGGGCAGCCAGTGAACACAAAATCATGGTCCAGTTATTGTCTTCCTCTCTCAACCTAGATTCAGAATTGTCTATACATTCCAATCATCTAAAAACTAGCCTTAATTCAAAACCATCAAAAAAGAACTATCCTTAAGTTATAATTGTCCAAAAAGTTATAAACTACCCAAAAACTATATCATATATAAGTTTCTAAACAAGTGTTGTTAAAAAAAATCCTATAGTCAAATAAGTGTTGTTGTTCTGCAGTATACGGAGAAGCCACCATACAATAAATTAGGATTTGACAGCTGAAACATTTTATAACTAGCATATTCATCTTTATAATTGAACAGAATCATTAACAGATCAGATCAACTAAATCCATGTCTGATCTGTTAACAATCAGACCTATTAGATTCTGATAGTAATTGAATAATCATATTTCAACCACAAATTATTGGATTAGATTCAGCTTAGAATACAATCCATTGATGAGCCTAGTCTCAGGTTTATATTCCTTTTCATTTTAAGACAAATTTTCCAAGGACATCTTGTATTTCTGATTTGCCTCACCGCCACCAACAATGATGCTAATTATAGTTGTATCAGTGACCAATTACGTTGCTTAAAAAGATAAAATCCACATCAGGGACATTTCATCTTTAGTGAAACTATCTTCTTGTGTGCCAATCTCATGCAAATATAGAATCAGGATTGCTGCAAGACTGCACCAAAAAAATTTCAATCCTCACCTAAACCAATTTCACCAAACAGTATAACCAATAGTCCAATTTCCAATCAATAATTCAGAAATCATACCACATTTCTCAGCCAGGCATGACAATACTTTGTGGTTCCAAAGCATGCCCTGCAAAATGAAATCCCAACACCTACATAAGAGAATACAGAATAGAACATAAATCTTGAATGTAGCCATTTCCCACCTCAATGATCTACCATCCAAGGTAAACCCATGCACTGATTGAATACATCGAACCGCTTCCTCCTCCTTTGAGTAAGTAATATATCTGGGATAGAAATCACGTTTAAGAACAGAACAGTTGTAGTGAAGTCATGGTCTGTCCCTGCCCTTTGTCATCCAAGGCACTCTGCGAAATCGTTTCATTAGAGTAATTCCTAAAAAAATCCATGTTTCCTCTCACATGGAACACACTTCAATTAGACTTTACTATCACTTCTATTTACAAGGAAAGTGCTTCAAATGGAAAGCAGTAAACGATCACTCAATGCAAGAGACTGTTAATTCCTTTATTATCACCTAAAATTCCGTCCAATGTCCGAGCAACAAACAAAATTTAAACTGGATCAGTCAGTGAAACCTCATTAACCACTGTTACAATTCTAAATAAGCAGAAACTACATCTAAATAGGCTTAGGCAATCAAATATGCAAATTGATATTAAATTCTAAGCATTTCATGAACCAAACACTGTATGACATCAAGTGAGATTTGAAATTCAACTGAAACACATAAAAATCTTCACAATACTGATAAATTCAAATAAAATCTAACCCGAAAGGAGTGTTGAAAACAATTCAAATGAGGCAAAGACCTAAACAGGACATTTCTAGCAAAAAACAAAACAAGGTTCAAACACTCTGCTCCCGAAAGTCGAATTTCAAGACGAAACAATCAAAAGATTCAACGAAATCTGATCCACATAATTGAAAAACTTTAAAATGCCAAAAATAAAACCAATTCTACAGTGAAAACAATGGATCGCTCACTAGACTAGCAAAATCTATTGAAAACGATACGAAAACTTTTACCAAAAAAAGCTGAAAGTGGAGTCTAACACTGTGGCATCAACATAAGACTCTATATAACTTGCTTTAGTCCATTGAAAAATAAATCCATCAAATGATTAACATTTTCACCTCATCAAATTATGTAATGACAAATGCCAAATAAGAAATAAAGAAATAACTCATAACCAGCATCCAAAAATAGCCAGAGGCATGCACACCAAAAAAAAAAAAAACTGCCACAAAATTGGAATAACAGTAGCATATCAACATACAAATGGAATGTTATATATCTTGGAACAGCTTTATGATTTAACTAGGTTTTTATGCGGCCAATCTTTGATTTAAGGAACTCTAGAAGAGTATTATGATGAACACTGAGTGGTCATCCAAGGAAAATTCACCATTCATATCCCTTTCTACCTAATGGGATAAAAATTGAGATCTGATTAGGTTCAAGGCTACATCTGTTCCAATTAGTCTTTAAGCAAACACAATTTTGGGGGCTTTGTCACTGATATTAAAGTTTGGCGGCAAAGAAAATTTATTCACCTTTTCTTTGAGGTGCAACAGAACTTCACCTCTGTTGTGTCCAAACTCGGCCCTTGCAAACTTCCAGGATGCTTGAGCTAGACCATATCCCAATACTCACTCACTCTCTCTCTCTCTCTCTCTCTCTCTCTCTCTCTCTCTCACAGTACAGAAAGGAAAATTGAAGATAAGAACATCAATAATAAAATTCAAGTGGATGACCTCCATATTATTTTTAGAATAAACTACAAATATACCTTATGAAATTTGTTTAAAATACATATTGTCTCTTGTAAATTTAGAGATTATAAATATCCCTTGTCAAATTTAATAGAATTAATAAATAAATAACTCAACTAATCTTCTATACAATAAAATCTGAGTTTTTGACAATTATGTATGCATGCATATCAACATTTGCACGTAATGATCCTATCATATGGCATTATAACATGAACTTTGCTGACTCAAAGCCTAATAAAACAGTAGACTCTGTTAACAAACATTTAGTATTTCCATCACATAAATATGAGATTGTTGACTAACTACTTACTCTCTTTTAAAGAAAAATAATGACAGTGATAGCATTAATAGTAATGATAAAAACACCAATAACAAAATCATCATAATAATAAAAATGGCAGAAACAATAATAACAATTACAAAAAAAAAAACATAGCATGCTCACTTCCATCCAGAAGATCATGAACAAAACTGATACTGACTTTGGTATCAATACTTAATGCAATATTTGAAACCAAAACCCACTCAGTAGTTGGACAACCCTGACCATAACCAGTAAAGCTTCATTGAAAACCCCAAAGCTATTTTTCCTTTTTTCTTTTTTTTTTTTGGCAAATTAAATAGAATTGTTCAACTGCCAGTTGAAACACTTTGTTTGACCACTTAAAAGGATTGTGTGAATTGAATTGTGTTCAAGCTTTATATATTATTAGTTAACAGGTTTTGAAGTGTTTGCAAACAAAAAAAAATAAAAGACATGTTTTGAAATTTGAAATCTAGAATCATTTGACTGCTTGTTGAATCAGCAACCCTTTTGATTTGTTAACTAGATCCATTTCCATTCTTTCAAGGCAGGCAAGTTCTGGTTATCAGCTTGAACACTTAAAGACCCACATGTGGCAACTGTTTTTCTTTCCAATCACCTTTAAAGGCTCAAATTCATCCAATTCAAATTTTGTTCATCTTCATAGTTTCCTAAATTAACCGCAAAATCACTCTCATTGAACCTTTTTTTTTTCTATGCTCTGGTTGCTCGAAGCAGAGACCGATATTACATTCATTTCATTTTTACTCATTTGCATTTTAGGATTATAAAATATAAGAGGGAAAGCCCACCCAGAAGAAATAAAAATAAAAAATGAAGAAGAAGAATAAGATGAAGATGAAGATGAATGCATTGTGTGGACAGGGGCGGTTATAGCAGATTTAGATGAGGATATGAAAGTGATTTTATCATTATCTGAATGTTTACATGACACGCCATCCATAAGAATATAGATGAAGAATTAGCAAGTAGAACCTCGAGGGTCTGACCTTCTTGAAAGTATGATATGGACTCTGATGGATAACCCTTCAAACAATTGATGAACTAGAGTCTCAATGTAGACACCCAAACAAACCCAACACTCAAATAGATCCAACAATCCATAACATTAATCCATCGATCAAAATTCTACAAACCCATAATCAAAATTGCAGTTAAAAAAACCAAATAATTGAACAAATATGGAGTGAATGTGTGTGTGTGTGTATGTGTGAGAGAGAGAGAGAGAGGGAGAGAGAGAGAGAATGGTGGAATTCAAACATACCTCAAGAATCGAACTAATATTTTTTCAGATCGAAGAGAAGAGAATGAAACCCTTCCCCTTCGAACCGTCGATCATCGCCGCCGCTCAAGCAGTCTTACCACCGAAGAGAAAGCACAGTTTCCAGGTTGAAATCTCGCCGCTGCGAAGTTCCCTTTTCGAACCCTCCCTTTTTCTGTTTTGCAACTTATACAATTTTCAACGAACCCAAAGAGTTTGTATTTGATTGAAAAATAAAATAAAATAAAATCTTGTAGTGTTAGCTAATAAACAAAAAAAATCGTGAAAAGGCTGTGCAAGAATGAAAGACAAGGGTTTACCCATCCTGAAAAAAAGGAGGGGAATTTTGAGGGGAAACTTTCCACTGCCTCAATTTTTTGAGGTAAAAAAAAAATTGAAATAAAATAAATATATATATATATAT